GCGGTACCACAACTGGTGGTATCGGAAATCGGCAATGGACTCAACAACATTTAATCACACCTTCACCAACTGCTAGCCTAGCTTCAAGTAATGATACAATGTATGCCATTCGAACCGTGCCGTCAATGATTGTAAGTCCTGTTTCAGTATCTTCTACTGGTACTAACAATACGACAGTGGTCTCAGCAGGTAGATGTGCTACATCTATAGAAAGTCCTGAGAAACGTATTATCATAGCGAGGTTTGTTAATCAATTTTGTACACATAATTTTATCCAATACGTTTTATTGTTTATTTTTAAATAGCACACATCCCTCAAGTACTTATAAGATGCAAAATATTGGCATCAACAACACTAACAGAACAGTGACACCTATTAGTCATATTTCAAATAATGCCATAGTTCCACCACAACGTTTAGCATACAACCATCATCACCTCCAACCACAGCAATCTATTAGTATGATCCAAAATCACCAGTCGCAACAATCTCAATGCGATGAAACAGCTTTAGACCTTAGCGAATGGACCAATACACGAGTATTAGCAAAATTAGGCAGTTACTATGCCTCTGGCGAAATACGTCAACCTGCATCTGATGCAACAACTCCAACAAATTCAGTTTTGGTTGAATTTGATGCGCCTGAAAATTGTACGCAACTTTACACAGAAGTGTTAACAAATGGTCGGTTTAATGTGATATCGGACGCTAGTCCACCAGCTGCAGATGTAAGTAAATAATGAAATATTATCACACAAGATGTCTATAACATTCTCTAATGTATAATTTCAATATATTTTCTTATTTTTTGATGTTTTATTTTTTTAGATTGTGTTAGACACACGAGTCTGTGTACGCACTCAAATGGAAGGTCGATCTGGTTTTGTGTTTGTGGAAGGTTCAGTAACGGATATAAATATGAATACAAAACAAATTACAGTACAAATTGGCAGTACAGATACAACGCAAATTGTAAGCAAATTAAAACTGCATTAAAATATGCATTTTAATAAAACTACAAATAATCATTTAAAACTGTGTTTAATTTTAGTTAAAAACTGTTAAACGTGCAGATTTACGTTTATTGAGACCACCTTGGTGGGATGAACTTATCGATGTGTCACTACAAACACACATAGTTCCACCATCAACACAAGCAACAATTAAACCACAAACTATTCAGGCAACACATACACAACCGCAACGAATTATCGCAAAAACATCTGCTTCGACTGGTAGTCATATATTAGTCAGTGGAGACGCTAATATTATTTATGCACCTACAAATAAAGGTCCACATCAACTAACATATGTGACTGCAAGATATGATGGAAAAATTCCTGGCCACCAAACGCCTACAAATGCTAATACACATATTCAGCATGTTGTGCCGTCATTAGCGGCACAAAAACAAGAAGATTATTATCGTACAACAGCTACTTCGCCGTTTCAAAATTCAAATAATAACACGCTACAAGCATTGGTTGTTAATGCCAGTTCTTCAACGAGTTCAACGAATATTGAAAACTGTTCTGGCAATGGAAATGGTAATGGAAATGGAAATAGTACGAATGTGCCAGAAATAATTATATCTCAACAACAAATTATGCATGCAGGTTCAGCACAATCAATTAGCAATAGTCACAATACCAATTGCCTGCCATCACAAATACACAAGATCTCTCATTCACCATCAGATGATATGCATCGAAGACAAAGATCATACGATGATTATGAATCGGATGATGAATTAAAACGTGTTGATATTGGCAGTTATGCTATAAACGATGCTGATCCTGAAAAATTATCGGGAGGCAGTAAACGTAGTAGCATGCAAAGTCGTGGCAGTACATCCAGTTTAATCGATCAGAGGCTCACTCCAAGATCTCATCCAGCAACTCCAAGGTATTAATCTGGATTGAAATTTGTGTAATCAGTTTTAAGTAAAAAGCTAACAATAGTATTTAACAATCATCATCATCATCATTTGTGATTTTTAATTTATAAGTATTTATGTTTAATTGACTGTATGTTATTAAATTACTATTATTAAAGATTGAAAGTGTTAGTGTCAAATAACTTAAGTCTACATAGTATTGATTATAGATGTTTTACCTTTGTTTGTTTACAAATAGATACACGTTAAAATGAATTCGAAATTACTTTTATGTAGTAATCATTGTAAATTTTTTTACTTAGAAATTTTTCTATAAAATATATATGTATATTCTATAAATATCGGATACTAATGATTTAATATTATTGATTTAACCAGATCTCAAGCGACTACACCACATCGCTTTAAAAAGGGCGATATCGTACAGTCTGAATCCGGTGTTCGCAAAAAATTTAATGGTAAGCAATGGCGTCGGCTATGTTCGTTGTGTTCAAAAGAGTCTCAACGACGTGGCTTTTGCTCACGCCATTTAAATCAAAAGGGAAATACTGCATTACGTTCTACTGGACCAAGTCGTTTCCCAAGGTAACTGCGTTTATATTTATATAATTTTATCTAACATTTCTTATAATTAATTTTTAACCTAATTTAAATTAATTTTTACTTGGTTTATTAAATTAATCAATAAAGTTAATTTCTCCTTTTTTTAGTGATATAAGTAGTCGCTCTAGTAGCAAAACCCAAGTTGACGAAGATACCTCACGTGATTCGGAAACGTCACCCAACTATCGTGTCACAGATCGTTTTGATCAGGAGGAAAGAGATGTAGCTAATATGTTAGGTATGACTACATATGATTATTTAAAAAAAATTAATAATAATATATTATAATAAGTTTAATTTAGTATCTAATTTTAAGCGCAATATAACACAAGAAACAATCTATTAATATTGGTTAAATTTGTTCTTAAAACTATATTTCAAAAATAATAACAAATCGAAGAAATGTATATTACTATACAAAAATTATTATGTCCATAAAACCTTGAAATTTCATGTAATTTTCAGACAAAAATTATATCCATAAAAATACCTGCTTTGCAAATTATATGGATTAACTTTAAAAATGTAACTAACTCATTCTTTATTCATACATAAAATCACAAAGAAAATGTATACATATATACATACATACATACATACATACATACTAAGAACAAAAATACTCTAATGATAAAATCAAAAACTAAGAAAATTATTACTCATGTTTTCATTAAGAAATAATTTATATTGCTTACTGTTTACTGCTCACTCAACTGAGTGTTTTCATTGAAACGCACTTTTTACCTGCTTTACATTCTGCCTCTGCTATAGTAGTATAGTAGTTTCTTCACACGTGATAAACGCAACGCATTGAATTACCTGCAGAATGGAAAGGAAATATTAATGCTTACCGATTTGTAATCCAAACCAAGTGCAGCAAAATTTAGTTTAAAGAATGAAAACGAAAAGAAAAAGACGATGACAGCAATCCGTAATTGTCAAACTGTACAATTGCATAAATAGAAAAGCACATACTTGAAAAGATTGGCTTGACTTGACTATAGAATTCGACAGAGTCTGTAAAATAAATAATATATTTTATAAACTATTTCTATAAAATTGACTTAATTTATTAATATAAAAACATAAAAACATAAACAAAATAAAAATTTAAACATTTGAACATTTTGAAATGAATGTGTTTCAAGACTACGACCTTGGCGCGAAATTATACGTACAATGTTTATGTAAACTAAACAAAATTATAATTAAAGAAATGACTTACTCTATAAAAATATATTTTTCAGTGTCGCTGAGCAGTTCGCGGTCGGCTACACCATCGTACTCCTCACCCGTTAATCATGGCACATCTCCTATGAACGTGAATCATTCTCCAGTACCTGTATCAAATCGACAAAACTTTTTTACACCGATTGGTGGTGGACCAGTCGCTACTGCAGACCCACATACAACAAAATGGAAAAATACACCTAGTCCAGTATTATATAATGTGGGGTTTCCACAAGTAATACGTCCAGAGTCAGTTCGTGCTCAGGGCGCAGGTGCAACACAAACGGCCACTATTGTCTCCTCAATTCCGCCGCCACAAACAGCACCAGTATCAATGGTAGTACATAATCAACATGTTCCTCCTCCTCCTACGCAGATGATACAACCACCACCAGCGCCCCCACCAACTCATCATATCATGACACATCATCATCCACACCAACAAACTTCGCCGGGTCCACCATTACCACCTCCTAGTGTAGTAATGCCTTCAGCAACAAATTCAGTTGGCCATGCAACAAGTGTAATACGTATTTCACCTGCAGCTGCTACAACAATGAACAACATCAACTCATCAACAACTACTGCTGTTACTGCAACTAGTACACAATCTTTTCATCCTGTTATAGTGGATGCTACACAATTGGTACCATTGTTGCCACAACAGCAAGCCTTGCATTTACAACACCAACAACAATCGAATATTCAAGTAGCGCATACACAAGCCTCTTTAACTACTAATACAGGAAACCAAATTTCTACATCTACTTCAGTTGGCATAATACCAGCTGCTCATCAACAAACGCAACATCAACCGCCACCAATGCCAGAAAAACCAATTTCAAAAAACGGTAAGTACTACTAAAGTATCACTCATATTCTTATATGTATTTATATCAGTTTTATTATTAACTATTTTTATGTTGCTCTGCTCTAATTTTAGGATTTAATCCGGGGTCGATATACCATTGGCACACGTTACTGCCCCATATAAACCAATCTCCCGTTAAAACACAGCCATTAACAAACTTCTCAATTGCTGGCATCGTACCACCAACTGTAGATACGCCAACAATTAACAATACATGCAGTCATAATATTAATAACCATCAAAATAAATTGAATTCGCTGGAATCTCCCCCAAACCCTGTAAATTGTGCCACAAATGAAACAAGTAGAAACAATATTGCAGAAACTATATCGATCACTATACAAGAGGAAACAGACGAACAATTAGACGATGATGTATTCGAGCCCTCAATAAATAATACTCCTGCTGGAAGTATTATACCAGCTGCTACAGTCGCTCAAGTAAAGCAAAATCACAAACGTTCAACTAATGAAACCTATCGCATGACCAACTTTAGCACATCATCATCATCTAATGAAAATAGTCGAAAAATTGATGAACGTATAGAACGTATAGATATAGAACCAACAAATTCTATGGGAAGTACAACTGCAACAGCAACTGCAACTGCAGCAGCTCAGGCTGCTGCTAAACGACGTTCGCAATCGCTGAGTTCTGCTGGTGGTATGGGTGCAACTGGGAAAGAACCAATGAGTCCGATTACAAAGGTACATTTGATTTTTTTTAATGTTCTATAAAATATATATAATCTTTGTTTTTGTTTATCTTTAAAAACTTAGAACAAGATACGTAGACCTATGAACGCTTTTATGATTTTTTCTAAAAAACATCGAACATTAGTACATGCTAAACATCCAAATCAGGATAATCGTACTGTTAGCAAAATATTAGGAGAATGGTGGTATGCACTTAAGCCTGAAGAAAAAGCTAAATATCATGAATTAGCTAGTTCTGTCAAAGACGCTCATTTCAAATTGCATCCAGACTGGAAATGGTGCTCAAAAGACAGGCGCAAATCATCTAGTTCAGGAAAAAATACGATGTGTGAAATAAATGGTAAACAACGTAATGACTCAACTGATGGAATGGACATCACTGAACAAGATCAAAATGCAAATATAATGAATAATATTGATGGTCCCTCAATAGATACACAAACTGATATCATACCGTTAACTATCGCAAATTATATTTCTACGATTGATGAAAGCTCAACACCAACAGTATGCAACGCGAATGCAAATGATGTTGTTAAAATTAAATTGGAACCCGAAAAAGATGACTCACAAACTGAGAATGAAATGGTAGCTATTTACTGCATAGGAAAATTCAAACCATTTTCATAACTATATTATTTATTTTTGTTTTTTTTTTATTTTATTTTAAAGTCTGTTCCTATTGAAGAAAATAAAAATAATAATAATAGTAGCAATAACAACACAAGTCAGCACGATGATGGCAAACAAATAGATTTAAAATGTCAAGAACGCGTTGCTGATTCCGATATTGAGGATGCGGCCTTTGATTATAGGAAACCAACTCTAGCCAGTAGTGATTGTGTACAAAAAGATGATCAAAATAAGTCTGAGAAGGTAAAAAAAAAATACTATTCTTATATATGTGTACAAATAAAGAATTTCTTAAAATTTTTGCTTACACAGAATGGAAATGATTTTTTTGATAATGCTGTCCAAACAGTCATTTCTAGTAGTGATCATATCAATACAACAATGACATCAAGTAATACTACTACGAGTAGTAGTACTGTTAACGCAGTTAATAGTGGTAATGAGCGCGATATAACGTTAAAGCCAAAGCCAATTAAAGCAAATCGGCATACTATTGAGAACAGCATCCTTAGCTATCAACAAATACCGATGTATTCTTTCAACAGCCCCAAGAATCCAATTGGTGTTACACCGTTTCAACCCACAGGCGAGCACCATGCAAAAGTCGAAATTTGTAATTTAAGAGAAATTAGAAATCAGAATTTGAATTTCGATTTTTATTTTTAATATGAATTATTTGTATTAAACACATTTTTTAATTATATCTATATATTCATATCATAGGTGGTGCTTTTAAAACAATGCCAATAAGTCCAAAAAGTACAAAAGTAGATGAAACACAACCAGCACATATTAAGCATGAAGATGCAACAAACAATATTAAACAGGAACCCCCGTCGCCTTATCAACTGAACGGTAATTGTAGCAACATTTTTACTTTTAATGTGCCAACAGCAACAGTTCCAAGTCAAAAACAATCACATCATCAATTTCATCCTTATTCTCTGAGAAGTCCCACAGATTGTAGAGGTTAGTATTTATAACTAATTTATATAAATTTAAACTGATTTATTTTAAGTTGCGTGTATTGTATCAAGCACAATAAAATAAATACCATATATAATTCGGATAAATTCAATATATTCATCAACCGTCTATGGTTGGTTAATAATTTTAGCAATTCTTATTAGTTCTACTTTTTTAAACTTTATAAAACTTAAGTGCTTATAACTAGTAAAATAAACCCTGAAACACAGACTTTAATCATTTATATTTTTCTTACTTTAAACTATATATGCTTTTTATTATTTTATATAAAATTGTACAATCATTTAAACTAATATATGCTCATTACCATTTTATCATTGCATTATTGTAATTCTTAATAATTTTGGGTTCAACATAAAGCTCATAAATCATAAACTTTTCTTTCTCTCTATAATGCTAACGTATATCTTCGATATGATCATCTATTAAATCATTACTCATAATTATCTACTAATTACTTAAACAAAAATTAAAAATAAATAAAAGATGCAATAAATGAGCAAGTATATGTTAAATCAGACGTAGAAAATAACTGTTATGATAAAGCCGCTGAAAACGATGATGAATTGTATGAAGATTATGACACAGAGACCGACTATGATGACATTAAATTTCACAACAAACGTATAACTGAGACAAAATCATGTATTACGAATTTAGTAATGAAAACTTTAACACCAAATTGTACAAAAGATAATACAATACAATCCGACCAATCGACTGGTGTAAAACGCAAGCAATTTACTATCGTACGTTCTTTGACGCCACAACACATTTCTTCACATAAACAATTGAAACATTTACATATACGGCGTGTTGAAACACCACCAACTGTAATAACGCGAGTTCCCACTCCATTTGCACCAGATAAAATCATATCAGACCACTCTCAACAACACAAATCAACAAATCACATAACAATCATTAGAACATTATCAACCCCTCCTCCATTATTTTTTAATAAAATAAAAAAACAATCATCAACCTCATCAGCATGTGAATCAGCATTATCCCCTTCATCATTATCATCATTATCGTCATCATTGCAATCAACAACACTTCAAAAAACTTTGAAAAAAGATGAAAAAGTTATTAAATTTCAATCCTACTCCTCTGTAACTGCTACCGGTACAAATACAACCAACACAACGCCAATTGTACAAAAATTGTTGACAATAAAAAATGATGACATAAATCATAAAGATGACACAAATAAAGCTACCGGAAGGGCTGCTATATTATATGACGCTTTAGTATTGGATACGTTACATGGCACCAACATTGATGATGAGAGCAATGACAACGAACATAAAAAAGACCACCCAAAGAAACAACATATATTAACTATAGATCAGCATCAGTTTCAACAGCAACAAGCGCAACAAACACAACAACCACAGACACAGACAATGCTATTAATAACTGACGGCAATAGTTACAATCAACATCAACAGCAAAGTATAGCACAACAATTGCTACATAACAAAATAAGAAAATTTAATATAAATCCAACAGAAAAAAATTTGATATCCTCAACATCAACAAATGCTGCCCAAGCTTATTGTGTTGTCTCTAACAGCAACAATCATTATAACAACAATGTAAATGTGAAGTGTACCACATCATCCGCATCATCGACAAATACATTGCGTCCTTTGTCATTTATCAGTGTTAATTCATGTAATAAAATTACATTGGCAGGAAATGCTCGCATCCTCGCTGCCAATGCAGTTACCCCTAATAATACCAATTCAAGCACAGGTGCTGGATTAGGAGTAGGCGCAAATACAGTAACGGTTTTGAACGCTGTAACTCAATCAGCTGCTGTTGCTGTTGCTGCTACTGCTACTACTACTACTACTACTACTAACAATCTAAAAAATATTAATCATAAGATTAATAATAACAACAACCTAACCATAAACACTAATTCAAATGAAAATAATACTAAAAGTAATATAGTAACTAATACTAATTGTATGAAAAAAGATTTAACGATAACAACTCAAAATGCCACTGTTGCTGGCTCTTCGATTTTATTAATTAATTCAAATGTTGCCACTGTTGTTAATTCCTCATCAGGTACTACATCAGATGGTCCAGCAGTACCATCATCTTCTGCTGCACCGGCTACAACGGGATTAAGCTCATCTATAAGCAACACTGCTCTCAGTGCAAACAATTGTGTACCAACTACACCCACATCGGCTTCTTCGACAGCACAGATATTAACTACTTCAGGCAGTATTAACAACAATAATGGACAAAAGCAAATACTTTTTGCTGTTAATAATATGGTACACCACCAGGTATGAATTAAATGGATACCTTGCACATTATATGCATATTTTTATTAATTACTTGATTTTAATTGAATTAAATATATATATATATACATATATATATGTATATATATTAGTATATGTGTGTATAATAATAGTAATTCACATGTTAACAATAATATATCAAAATATATATATATATATTTTTTAGTACACAATTTTACCAATGCACCAACAACAAACAGCCCAAGCACACGCAGAATCCGCTAGTCCTATCAAACCTACAGCTATTAAGTATTTATTGAAAAAAAGTAATGTCCAAACTGATGTTAATAGTACTGGTATAAATAGTGGTATACTACAACAGCCGATACAGAATTCTATTATTTTACACAATTATTCACAAGGTTTGTTAATGTCACTTATGTTACATAGACTTACATAGAAATTTGTTGATATTTTTTGCTCAATGTTTCTTTTTTTATTAGAATCAACACCCCTATCACCAATATATAAATCTCTCCCATCAACACCAAAGTCAGCCTCTTACCAATTAAATGTACCAGATTCAGCAGGTAAACGTAGTTCTGATGGTAATTCATCAACTTATGGTGGTGACGATGAACATGAAATCGGAGAAGGTCAACAATTTATATTAGCACCCACCCCGGCACAATTAGGTTGTGCACCATTACAACGCAGAAAGAATATGTGTAAGTACTTGGCTGTCAATAAATAGTTCAAAAGTACTAATAAAGCTTAAATTGTAGCCGGTAGCAGTATAGGTTCGTTAAAAAATGAGTCTAGTTCAAACTCGTTTGCTACAAATACAATTATTGGAAATTCAAATAAGAAATTAAATTCTCCCATCATTGATTCTTCTTCCCCAATAATTGGCAATGTAAACACAACAGCTTGCCTAACAACAGGTTTGCCAACGCCTACATCTTCAACAGCGACTCCAAGCAGTGATGAACAAATGCCACTAACTCCAACAGCTGTGATTAATACAAATCCCAAATCACCTACTAAGACTGTGACAGTCAAAAAGAAAAACGATGATATGGAAAAGTAATTTCGAAATAATATATATTTGGCCTATGAAATAAAATAATTATAATAATTTTTTTTTTAAAGTAGTGTCCTAAAACAGGTAGACTTCGAAAAGAAATATCAAGCTTTGCCGCAGTTTAAACCTGAAGATTGTCAATCACCAAGCGCTATTATAGTACCCTCTTCACCTCGCGTATACGGTACCAATTACCGAAAAAAAAATATGGTTCCGCCTGTACAAAAATTACGTGAGTATTATTTTGAAATACAATATATAACAAATTTAATATCAATATTGTTTTGTTATTATTTTTTATCAACAGATAGCGAAGATGAGTCAACCGATGAAACAACAGTTTCAATACCTACACCCACACAACGTTTCTTCGGTCCCGATTTTAATATTGATCAACTAAGAGGTATTCATTCAAAGTTCATTTGAAATTGAATAAATTACAATCTTATAAATATTGTGTCTTTCTATTAAAGAGCTAGAAAATTCTGATCAAACTGGACGTTCTCCACGTACACCTCAAACACCTCTGCAAAGTGCTCGCTCTGATGCTAGTGAAAAGGGTCATCGTAAGGTACTTGAACAACGTCGTAAATTAGTTTTGCAATTATTTGATGAACATGGAATGTTTCCTACAGCTCAAGCCACTAT